CAGTGTAAGACATGAAAAATAATCATAGTTTATGAATTATCAAGGGTTCGTGGTGGGGGTGGCGGGGATGAGGAGCTGATACCAAGGGCTAAAGTAGAAAGAAAATGTTTTGAGAATGATGAGGGCAACAAATGTACAAATGTGCTTGATACAATATATGGATGGATGGAGTGTGTTAAGAGGTGTATGAGCCCCCAATAAAATGATTTAAAAAAGAGTGTGAAGCTTTGAAAAAATAGATATGTAGAAGTTAATGAAATGATTAGCATATGTATTATGGATGTGTTTTTAGGAAAAGAAAAATGATAAGATCGAGAGAATAAATATTTAAATATGAATTGGCATATTTCATAATAATAAATCCATACATCTTTATATCCATCAATGCCAAAATTTAAACAAAATTAATAGAGTAGTTATGCTTCTAAGTCCTTTTTAACTACTGTATATATTCCTTTAACAAATCAAAGGAATTTATTCTCTGAAAATGTTAATCATTAAGCCTATTCATTTAAAACACTAAGTAGTTTTACAAAGTGGAAATTATAAATTAGAAAATAAGCAATATATGCGATAAACATTTTGCATAATTAGAGTAAAGCTGATTTAGAATAAAAGAGAAATATATATTTTAGAATAGTAAAGGCTAATTATATCAATAGAAGGAAACAATATTTTATCCATGAAATATTAGTTTATTGGTACTTATGTAAGAATTGGACTCAAGTTCTGGAAATCCATTCAGGATATTTGTTTCTTATTTTTTGTGACATTCTGTGCACTACAGTATTCTTACCATCTTTAAAAAGGACATGGATGAAGCAAACACTTTTTTTTACCCTCGTTCTGTTAGTAAGACACATCCTTTTCGGTTTATGACCCATTAACAAGACCTGCTATATCTTCTATCTAATTTTAGGGGAAATTTGGACTGGCACTATGACATGAGAACAGTAAATATATTTCTAGTAAAAATGTTAAATGTATTATTAAACAACTAGGATGAAATAGGTTATTTTGGAGCATGTGTAATTCATAATACCTTATTCTAGCACAATAAGAAAATCTGAATGAAACTAAAATTATTACAGATAATTAATTATTACTTATTTTTATAAATGTCTAATCATTTTATTGAGAGGTCTTACAGATAGCTCTCATCTAACTAACCACTAAAGGTCCAGATGGTTTCACAGATGAATCCAGTCCACTGTCCAGAAACAGATAATCCTATTCTGTAATCAATTATTCCAGAAATTAGGAGGGTGGGAAAAAAGATGAAACATTCAGATACACATTTTATAAAACCTAGAAAGCTCTTACAAAAGGCAAAGAAAGGTTAAAGACAGTTATAAACATAAGTAAATGAGAAGCTACACATTGACAACTCACTATATATATGTATATATATATATATGCACGCGTGCGTGCGGATGCACACACACCAATGGTCTGTCAGTTTGTCATACAGAGGTGACGTGAGTTTTGTTGTAATGGGGGAAGCCAAGTCACCAGTATTTTAAATATCAACAGGGCTACCCAGGAGAGCAGGTTTCAGTGGAGTAGGCAAACTAAGAACAGACTAGGACTCACATTTCTGATTCTCATATTGTCCTTTAGTTTAAAACAAAGTAAATAACATTAATCCTACTGAAACAATATTATTGTTGGTGTGGACTGCTATATTGAATTCAGCTGCCCCCTGCGGTTCCAGAGCCATAATCTTTAAGGAGGCAGAATGCTTCAGTTTTCTGTTTTAACTTCAGGTCTTTGTGTTAGTCGCTCAGGACCTATTTCACCACCAGGATTCCTTTCTGAATTGTAAAGTGGTATTCTAAATTAAAATTACTTTGTATTTGATGCTTTTGACAATCGTGCCACTTTTTAACGTTTTATTGTGAATTAGGTAAAGGTTGATAGAGCAGATGATCAGTTTTACATTCCATAGCTGATTCACATTTTATTTCTAGTCCCTCAAACTACCATCGCTTATTCCACTTCCTCTCTGTGTTTTCTGTTTCCATCCCTCCTTCTTTATTAACCCTGCGTCGTTTGCCTTTGGGTAAATGCTGCCCATTTGATGTAAAATGGTTGAATATTCTGACGTGGAATTGAGTGCATTTCCTCACTAAGGGCCATGGTCTTTGGGTTCCGCCTAGCTCTATCTCACCAATAAGCCTGGACTCTTTTATGATTTAGGGATTTTGCCCAACATTTCTCAGCCTCCTCCCACACACCCTTTCTAAGACCTCCTAACATCATCCCTTTCAAATCTCTCAATGTCCATCATTTTTTCTCCTCTGGACAGGGAAAGACTAAAAATGGCATCATAGATAACTACTCATGAGCTTTTAAGACCCCAGTCGCTACTCGTGGAAGTAGAATGTCGAACACTCTGTGTTATATTCATTGAACTTGCTGTCCCCTAAGATTGTGACACGCAGACCCTAGATTCAGCTACGCATTGCCTCCAGGATGTTGACTATGTCTATTTCATACTTTCACTTCACCAGATTCATGGACCTATTTTCAATAAAGTTAAATATATATAAATATCTTCCATCATATTTATATACATACATATATAATCTCCCTGGGCATACTCACACTCTCACTCCCACGACTGTTATATCCGTGTTCGATCTGTGTGTCTAGCCAAGCATCTCCTTGTAGGATCACTGCTGTTGCAGGATTGTCTATATAACAGTATTTGCCTGTGTGGACCTTATCTCCTGCAGACCTTCAGACATCTTGCAGTACTTTCACCATATTTGGTTAATTTCCATTTTAGTGTAAGTTGCTTTCTCTTTCACCCAAATTAATTTTATCTAGCCAATAGCATACCCTCTCCTATATCACCTGGTAACCCTCAAAGACTATTTCATTTAGTGTAAAAATATTTTGTGATTTTTTTATTATAGTGGTCTTACAAAATATTTTGTGTGTAATTGACTCATTTGACACAACACAATGTCCTCAAGTTTCATTCCATTTATTAGCTGTTTCATAGATTCATCATCGTTCGTTAACATTGTATAGTATGCCATTGTGGGCGTATATCTCAAATTTTAAATCATATTTCTCTGATGGGCATGTAGGTTGCTTCCATAGTTTTGCTATTATAATAATGATGTAATAATATACAATACAATAGGGATATAATATAATATATTATGTATGGCGAATGTGAATGCACATGTTGCAGAGCTTATTTCTCTAGGATATATGCCAGGTAGAGGAATCGCTGGCTCATATGGTACTAGTAGTGCCATTTTGGGAGGCAGCATTATACTGCTTCCCACGGTGGCTGTAACATTTTATTGTCCCATCACCAGTGTCTCCACATCTTTGTTAATTCTTGTTTTTATCTGTTTGTTTGTTTGCTTGCATGTGTTTTGAATTTTGCAATGAGTGCTGAATGAGGTGATAGCTCATTGTTTTTATTTATTTTTCTGGAATGCCTAATGGTCATGAGCATTTCCTCGTATGTTTGTTGGTGAATGATGGTGCACGGACATTCATGGTCTTTGCTCAGTTTTAAAGTCTGGTTATGATGAGGTAGGTGTCAACATTTGAAAATTAATTTAGGGATTAGTCCCTTGACTTATATCTCTTTGACAATATGTTTTCCTCGTACGTAGGGGTTTGGGGGTTTGAGGCACATACATGTCCAGTTTTTAGGTGGTCTCAGTCACTTCGTTTGTCTTCAGATGTGTGTGTGTTCTCATCATGTGTGGTAGCGTGTGCTTTGTATCAGGGCCCTCAAGTTGGTCCTACTTTTGCATTGATTATCTTTATAATTCTATAGTTTGAATTTAGGGTTTTGATTAACATAGGGTTCATTTGTGTATTTACTGTGGGATATGGGTCCTCACACAGTCTTCTGTAAATGGAGATTGCCAGCACCATTTAAGGAGTCTACACTTCCCCTTGAGATAAAGTTGTTTACTTAATATGGCCTTTGAGCCATAGTCTCATTCACCATAATCCATTTTGTGATGTATTGTAGATTCTGATCCCGGTGCTTTGTATGATCCCATTGTAGACAGGGTAGGATGTATCTTGGATCCTACGTCCCTGGAGGGTATGACTTAAGTCACCCCTCTTTTTTTCCCTTCTGGGTATGGTCAGATATAAGATAAAAAAACACCTCCATCAAAGGCCCGTCTGTGACCTGTTTTATGACGGAGCTTGATTAGAAGAAAGAGGATATGTTTGACATTTAGACATTTATGGCTTCTGGTTTTGGACCCGGTATTTGACTCACCTTTGCCTCACCTGCCATTTTAAGAATTAAGAGCACCCACAACCATGTGAAACATGTCCTAATATTTCATGCATTTCTGTGAGACATTGCAGCAAATCACAGAGTCAGGGACTTGGCGGAAGATACTCCAGGGAGGAGCTGGAGAAATAACATCTTGGAAAGAGATGGACATTTGGAATATCTTTAATCTTCCACTCCTTGGGACTAGTCAGATATTAATTCTTCTAAAGAAAATGATTGCCACATCCTATATGTTCCGGCTCTCTGTAGGTGGGAGGATTAAACTGAGTCCCCAGCTCTATTCCATTGGTCTATATAAAGTTGTTCGACCACCATCAGGCAGTTTTCACTACTGTGACTGTGTTGGTAAGTTCTGAGATCAGGAAGTGAGGGGCCTTCTCCTGTGTTCTTTCTTAGTAGTGCCTACCCATCTGGAATTTCTGTACTTTCGATTAAAAAATTGGTGATGCATCTTTCCAATTATTTAAAGAGGGATAACAGAATTTTTATCTGGATTGTATTGTATCTATAGATCACTTCTGGTTGTATTGGCATTTCATGGTGTTGTCTTCCTGTTTTGACCTATAATAATATTTAATATTTTATTTACCTTGATTGTCAATCTAGACTCAATGGATTTTTCACAGATGAAACTAAGTATTTAAATAATACAAAGAAACATGTTATTTTATGCTTTGAATTGTTTCTCAAAATTCCCTTTGCTTTTGTCTAGGTTGCTTGGAATTAAAGGAAGACACCATTGAGAATCTTCTTGCGGCAGCATGTCTTCTTCAACTTCCTCAAGTAGTAGACGTATGCTGCCACTTTCTCATGAAGCTTTTACATCCATCTAACTGCCTAGGAATCCGAGCATTTGCCGATGCTCAAGGATGCATCGAATTAATGAAGGTGGCTCATAGCTACACAATGGTAAGAACATTCAATATGTCAATGATTGAGACTTCCCGCGTGGCCTCAAAAAGTTCATGAAAAAAATCCATTATCTTTATTCCATTTGCCCACAAACTATTTTTTTAAGTTTATGTTTTCTTCTTGTCCACAAACTTTGTGAAGTCCTCTTCTTGCTACGATACCTGAAATTAATATAATTCCTATTGTAGCATTTGGACATTATCTTAGATTTTAAATAGTTTTGAATGCTTGGCACATTTTTCATTCTGGGTTATGGTGTGTCATACAGTATTTCATAATACACTTTCCCATTGCTTTATGGTTGAAATGATGTTGCACAGAAAATACAGACTGTATATTGGTTATTGGCATTTTAAGAGTCATAAATGCTAACTTGTCTTAGTTGCTCCCATTAGGTCCCTCATACTATTCACTGTCAGCCTTACTATTTATTTTTTTCCATTTTTATATTAATTTCTGATGACAGACTATTATATTGATGTGGTTTTGTCTATAATTTGTGGGGAAAATCTAACCATGGTTACAGTAAGTATTGGACGTCAGGACTCCCTGCCACTTTCAGATGCATAAATCAGCAGAGGTATTTGTCTGACAACTCAATTTTCAGTATCGTTTCTATTAGGGTTTTAAACTGAAAAATTGCCACTCAGTAACTTGTCTTAAAATAATTTAAAACTAGTTTTACATTTTAATCTCCAAATTTATTTCTGTTTACTTATTTCTAACAGCTTTATTGAAATACGAAAAGCCACTGAATTTATATGCATTGAATGTGTGAATTATTATGTGTATTTATTTATTTTTAAGTTGTCTCTCCTCTAGAATAAAATTGCAACAGACTCATACCCAAGAGTTAATAAATAATAAAAACACCTTAATACCATAATTTGTAAGCTCAAGGTGAATGCAGGGTTGTGGGTTAGATGTTAGAGTAGTAACCCTAGGGTTGGTAGTTCAAGCCAAACAGTTGCTTACAGGAGAAAAGGAAGCTGTTTCAAATAATTACAGCTTCAGAGACAATGTATAGGATGGCTATGCATCAGGATCAACTGGATGACAATAAGTTTGTTTTTTCATTTTGTTTTTAGATACATTTCTGCTCTTTTTGCTATTGTCATTTTAGTATAGTAATACTATTAATGATTATTGTGATCATTAAAATAGCCAATTATTAAATGTTATGAAATTTTCCTCTACAAATCATGGAAAGAAATTTCAAAACATAAATTCTCATTGAGCAATCTTAAGCTATTTATTATAAACCTTCCACTGTGAAATAAAGGGCTTTACAAATTACTAGTGGAAATCAACCTTTTAAAGGTCTTTGAATTGTTATTCTTATGTAGCATTTCAGTATTATTTTCATTTTCTTTTTTAATCTTTTAAGCCGGTTGATAAATTGAATCAAATATAGAAGTGAAATGAAAGAGGTGCGTGACATAATTCTATTGCCAAATGCTTCCATAGAAATACTCCATCACAGGGCTCAGTAATACTGTTGAAATCATATGAACCATAGAAAATCAATGTGAACAAATACTTCATCACCTAAAATATCAAAGTCTAATTGCAGTCATTTAATTATGCATGTCTCTTTACAACTAGCAGCTCCTGCCTTAGCTAGCTTTAGGGAAAAATATGATCCCTTCTGCTCGTATTTAAAAATTATTAATTTCATAATAAAAATATTTTCTTGCAGCTGCTTGGGTGATTCTTCAATTGACTTCATAATAACAACAAATTATTTTACAAACTTAAATATATGTTCTCTCTAAAGAAATACCTTTGAACAAATATATAAGGAGGTTATAGTTAATATGATCAACATTCTAAACAACTGTCTTTATTTTTAAGATATTAACTAGACTGCACGAAATGTCAAATTTGTTGAAGTGTACCAGTGAATTATTATTGTAATTTTAAATTAAAAACACAGAGCTTCAGTCTTCTCCAGGCAGGAGCTGGTAGGTCACTGCTTAGCTGACACAGTGGTTATGCATTGGACTGCTCACTGCGAGGTTAGCACCTGGAAGCCACTCTGCAGGAGAAAGATGGCTGGCGATCTTGGAGACCCACAGGGGCAAGTCTACGCTGCCCGCTAGGGTCCCCAAGAGCCCGGATTGACTAGATGGCAATGGTTATTTGATTCAAGAAAATTCACTGTGTTACTCTTTCCTCAGTTCAAACTTTCTAAAATGGATGTTTTGCATCTGATATGATAATTCTTTGCCACATATTTACCTGTATTATCAGGTGCATGTCATCATTTAATTTTTCAATGTGTGCTTTGAAGATAAACCTATTACACTCCTGCCTACTTCTTAATTGCTTTTAGTAACATTTCACAGACTTTGATACCCATTAGGGCTGAATTAACCTTTTACTGGCCTATATATTAATTACATACTTGTTTTATAAGTACTATTTATTGTATTAATATTTTCATATTTTACTAATATTTTCAGTCTTGATGCCTTTGAATTATTCAATTTTCTTAGTTTTTTATTTGACTGTAAAAATTCAAATCTAAGGTGACTTTATATGCTTTACTGTATTTCTTTTGCAAATATAACTCAATAGTAAACCTTCAGCTATTGATTTTGTGTGGATGATTCTAAAATCTATCCATATAGACATTAGTCCATGTGCAAAACATTGGGAAAATTTGATGAGATGGAAGTGTGAAATGAGTCATGAAGCATGAAGGTAGATTTTGGCTTCATGAATATGTGGAGTGTCCAAACAATTTCATTAATGGAACCAGTCACATTATATTCTATGGGCTATTACAAGGCTTATTCTTAATTCTAGATGTCACATTTTTAACGTGATAGAGGATAGAAAATAGAAACAATTAATAAGATTAGTATGAAAAATCTACAATTATGATATATGGAAAAATGTTGAGAGAGGGGATTATGTTTGCTATAGCAGAATGAAAGTGGGCATGGCAGTAGCTGTTTACATTGCTACAGTAGGAACACATTTGTGTTTAAAGCAATACCAAAATAAAAAATAAAACCAGACAATACTGTTAAATGGATTCTGAGTAATAGTTATTCTGCATCAGGTTTCCCAGAATGCAGATCTGTACAGCAGTACTTAGACAGAGGAGGACTTTTACTCCTGTGAGAATCTGGGCAGCCCAGAGAGGCCGTTCTGTTTTTGTCCTGACCTATCGGGTAGCTGTGAGTGGATATTGACCATTGGTTTGGGTTTTGAGGTTGGTTGTTTTGTTTTTCTTTTTTATTTTATTGTGGGGGGCATTCTTCCAGGATCAGCTGGGGGGTGAATCACAGACCTTTCAGTTAACAGTCTGGCAGTCTCACCAGAAATCCTTTGTGTTTAAATCAATCACGTTCAATTGATTCAAGTTTTGATTTAATCATTTCTGTTGGACAGTTCTATAGCATAAGGATTCCCAAGAATGAAAATCTTTATGAGAATAGAAAGCCTCTGAAAATCGGCCCATCAAAATCCCTATGAATCACAGCATTATTTGTTTAAGTAGTTTTATTGGCATATAATTCACAAAATATACAATTCAATAGTTCAACATACTAAGAACATTGGTACAATTATCACTACAATCACTTAGGACATTGTCTTTGTTCTTTTAGTCATAGTTATTGGTTCCCTATTTCCCACTGACCACCCCTGCCAATAGAAAGCCATATGATTTCTGATTCAAATTGACCATGCCAGTGCATTTCAGCACACTAATTGCTAGACTACTAATCATAATGCATTCTATTTCATTTTTGGTGACTT